CCCCAAAACCCCAAAACCCCAAAACCCCAAAACCCCAAAACCCCAATAATAATTATCAAAATAGAATAGGTTCAAAGTTTATAAGTTAGCAATAGAAGTTGGGGTGTAGCAAAGAGCATCCAATGGGAAGTATTTTTAAGATCCATAGGAAAACCTCTTTGTTACATAGTTAATGATTGATTCGACACCTGGTCTCAGATTCTTTTGAATACAAGATAAATAAGTTACTCCGAAGTTTACTAAGAAGTAGTATAGTAATCTAGAGCACAAATCATCTTGCAAGAAATTTTCTCTGACTGTTTCGCTGTAGTAATAATAGATCCTCATAGGGGTGCTGTTGATGATGTCTTTGAAGATTTTTCCCTCATTAGTAGACCTGGCCTTATAGTGAGCTTTGTAGAGGAAATCGAATGTAGAGACCGAATTTAGGAAAGAAATGTCAGTTATTCCTAGTTCTTGCAAAAACATCTTAACGAGAAGGTCTCTATTGGAGTCCTCACGTTTCTCTGATCTATGGAATCGGCTTTTGAAGATAATTCTGAAAAAATCTCTCATGTCTCTGAGGACCTTGGTCCAGAGGTACTCATCAGTGACTTGCCCGATTGGCTCTCCTTCCCTCTTAGTTTTCTTAGTTAGAATAGTAGTCCATTTTGGGACCACTAGGTTACTAAGAAGTTCATCGAAGTTTTGTGCTGGAAGCACATTGACTCTTTTGCGTCCTCTCTTCTGGCACTTTTTCTTGATCGAAACTTGCATAAGATCCATTTTGTAGTGTCTCTTCAGATTTTTCATTTCGAGTTTCTAAATTGATATGTCAGAACCGAATAGCAACTTGGTGAATTACCTCATATTGAGTGGTTATTTCAGATGCTTTCTTGATGATGTCACCTTCCTGGAGGGCATTGTGGTATGCTAGCATGTCACTGTTTACACCATCACAGCCTGGGGTTGATTCAACAAATGTATTTTGTCTAAACTCGCATTTTGGGAAATTTTGGAGGGATGTCACACATTTCGATGAATCTTCCAGAGAATGTAAGTTCTTGTACAACTGGTGTAACCTCGACTCAAAAATCTGGCTAGTAGCAGGAGTTTGCTGTTCAAAAGAGTAGCAACTGTCTGGGAGAGTGCTTTTGGATGATCCAGCAGGGCTGAATTCAGCAAAATTGCTAACTTCTTCGAATACCTTTTCGATCCTGGGCAGTTTTTCTGAGAGATCGAAACTGGCTTTTGAAGTAGCCTAGAAAATATTAGCTATTAGGTTCATACCTTTATGTATGAGTCTTGTGTGGGCATGAAACCTTGATAGTAATCTATTTGGCCTTGGAACTGATCTATCTTTGCATTGTGAGAGTCTAAGCTGGAGAATGCATTACTGGTTCCTTGTCCAGCAATAGCTGTCCATTTTGCTCCAGAATTCTGGAAATCATTTACGAAAAGTGCCTCTCCAGAGACAGCTTGTAAGTCAGAAGTGTTTTGATAGTTGCACATCATATATTGAGGATAGAAACCTCAAAAATTTGATGCAGCTGCTTCATAGTTTTGGTTGATCATTTAAAATTTTTAATAGTAATAATATTTCGATTCTTATATAATAATCCGGGGTTTTGGGGTTTTGGGGTTTTGGGGTTTTGGGGTTTTGGGG